ATATTTTACACACAAACCAATAAAGTTACTTTAATTTTAAACCACACATTCTCCAAAAAATACTATTTATTACACTAGTTTTCTCCCAATAATGGGAGACGAGCAAGCTCTTAAGTGTGTTTGATTGGTATAATTTTTCACCCTAAAAATTTTAAAATTTTGTCTTCGGTTGGCTTTGTTTTATGGAAATTATCCATTAAAATGATAATTTTTTCCACAATTAGTTATAAAATTTGTTTCCATTGCTAAAAAGTAAAAAAAAAATATATATAGATTTCCTAAAAAAAAAAATTTTAATCAAAGTTTAGTGTTTATTTGGCTTTATTTAACATAAAAATTGTCCATTAAAGTGAATTTTTTTTTACAATTGATTATGAAATTTGTTTCCATTGAAAAAAAAAGGACAACAGCACATGGAATTTCATTTTCTCATAAAAAAGGTGGAAAAATGAATTATCAAAAAAAAAAAAAGGAATTTGGACGCATGAAGCAGCTACCAAGAAAACAAATGGGCTAGAAAATTTTACTCATCAAACAAGTCAAAACCAAGAAAAATGAATTCATTTTCCAAATTCCAATGAAAATTTGGCATTTAAAATTAAAACGGACCCTAAAAGTTATTTTTATCCAATGTCATGCCATGTCATGTCAAATGTACCTAAAAGTACTTCAACTCATTATAGAAAGGTTTACTAACAATAAAAGAGAGATTTTAAAAAAAAATCTTGTAGTTCTCTTTTTCATTTTCAGTGTCATTTGTGTAAATTGTTTTAATTTTCATTTCACTCCAAATTAAGCCCAGACAAGGTACAGCCCAGTCCAACTCTGAAACCTTCTCCCGCTAGGGTTTATATCAACCTATTTTGTCATCATCAAACGACGCCGTCAATCCGTCTGGCAAACCCTAATTCTTCTCGTTAGGTTTCCTTCTATCTCCGTTTTCTGTCTATAGCTGTTAAAGTAATTTCGGAGTGTTATTTTTGTCATTTTAATTTGGTTATTTTGTTCTTGAACAGAAGTTGGTTGAGAAGAAATAGAGATATTGAACAATGAGGTGAGAAGACGGATATAATTTTTTTTCTGTAAATGTTAAGAATTTCTTCGTAATTGGTGTTCATGCGTAAGCTGATCTAATTTTGATTGTAATTAATTTGCAGTA